CCTTGTACCAGTAAGGCGCGTCATTAGTCACGGTGTAGAACTCCAGGAAGGTGTCGGGCTTGCCGGCCTGCACTGTCTTGAGCGCCGTGCCGGCACAAGCCCATCCACTGTACTGCGACACCCAGCTCTCGTGCACGTCGCCGTGGCTGCCGAAGTCGTCGCGGCCGTAGCAGAAGTCGTTCTGGAGCGTAAGGGACGTCTTCGGCGGTGGGGCGGGGGTCGGATCAGGCTCTGGCTCCGAGTCCTTGGGGTCATGCATGATGTACTTGGCAGTGCCGCAGTCGAGCGGGAGTTCACCGGTCTTGTACTTGGTGTGCGAGTCGTATGAGCCTGTGCACGTGTCAGTGGAATTTTGAGTCGTAGCCAGCGCTGAGTGATACGAAAATATCGAGACGGGGGGTTGGAAGCTGTCACGCACATGAGGTAAACTTCCCGAAGACATCAACGCAATTGTAGGCTGAGCAGTCTTTCTCACGGCTCATTTCGAGGATGAACTCAAACTCCCACCCTTCGTACGATGTGAGCCCAATATCGGAGGTCTTCTTTGTCTCATGGATGCCGCCTGAGAGCAAGGTCTTGCCAACGCAAAGGTTATCGAGTAGTCTGTCTTTGTGTTAGCAAGGATTGGGACTCTTAGTAGTTGCGAAAGCAATCGCATAGAAAAAATGGCGCAATACGTACTTTGACCAAACGTCAGACTCAACGTTTGCCAGGTTGTTATCTTCGCCAGTCCCTACTTGGCAGTTTGGCTTCGGGATATCGGCATTTGGGTCAGAGCCAAAGACGAATTGCGAAACCTCGTCTTCCACAGCTTCCCAGGCGTCACCGAAGAAAGCCCCATCCTCAAACGTCACGGACGACACAACACAATCGCAGTCTTTCCACTCGGCTGTGCACTTTGCGTTGCTGCCGCCCTTACAACGCTCTCCCTCACAAGCTGGTTGGGCTTCGGGACAGGATTCGGGATCGGATGGTTCATTGGGCTTGTTGTTTTTGAAGAAAGGCATGGGCTGCGGATCGGCGCGCAGCTTCCACAAGTCCTCAAGAATGTTGACCGTGCCGAAAAAGAAGGCAATGGATCCGAGTACGCCGAGGACGCCTTCTCCAACGGTAGCCAACAATTCACCAGCCGTCGGGGTAATCTCCACAACCTCGTAGACATGGATGATCTCGAAAACGATGTCCTCTTCGGCAAAGGCCATCATTTGCTCGCTCTCTGCGAGAGCAACAGCATCAGAGCCCGAAGCCTGGGCAACCTGCTCATTGAGGCGCACCATCTGGCGCATTGTGTCGGGATCTTCGCGAAGCAGCTGGTTCAGGCGATTCACACGCTGGCGTACACAAGGAATGTCGGGAGGTGCTCGACGTTCGATGACGTTATGTTGGCGGTAGTCCCATTCCCGGCGTTTCCTAAGTGAACAGCTGGGAAGTTGCTGGGACAGGCCGTTGAGTTTATCCTTGAGCCACTGGCTGAGGGTGACCTCAACCTTGCCGTCAACCATGGCCACACGGAAGCCTTCGGGAATTGTGGTTGTCTGCGGCGAGCCGTCCGGGCCCTTAGTTGTGATCGTGGCAACGCCAAAAGCGCTTTCTGAATGCACCCACTATACATTGTCAACAAGGACCAAACAGGATGTCGTGTGTCGGTGCTGTGAACTTACTGCTGTCTTTGTCTGCTGGTCTGTGACGAGCTCTGTAAGGTACTGTGTATCAACACCGATTGGCGCCTTCCTGAGACTGGTGTGAGCTCAATGGACTTGCGACACTCTTGTTTGAGGCGCCACTTACATGCTCTCATCAGGTGGAATATCGACAGGATCAATGCCGATCTGGCCAGCCTCGGTTGGTCTAATAGCCGCGACCCTTATACCATCAATTGGATTGAGGGTCTGAGAGGGCAAAGCATCCTGGGCTAAACAAAATGGAACAGCCGAGAAGGCAAGGAGAAGGGGAGCCTTCAAGAACATCATGGGCAGCTGTGACGTTGCAAAACTGGCTGTGAAAGGGATTCGAGTACAAGGCAAGTCAAGTTTTGGGAATCATGCCCTCCATATTGGTATAATACAGGAGAGGCAGTGGCCCTTTTGTAATAAAAGCTCCCATTGATCTGACGGCTATCTCTCTCTGCGATTCCACAGGTCATCAGCACTTCAACTGCATAAAATCAGTGTCTGTGATATTCCGCACGTCGATGAAGGATTCCGCACAGTGTTTGCATCCTTCTTCACAACCTCAAAGGTGTGGCGGACATGCTCACCACCCGGGAGAATGACGTCCTCATCAAGAGTGGTTCTAAATCCATCTCACAGGAGCGTCATTGCTTTGGTGAGCGTCTGCAAGGGTGCGCCTGCCTAACTAGCTATGACAGAAACATAAGCATGGGGTGACATCGCCTAGCCAGCGGTGGATTAAGCCTCACAGACCTGCGTTTCCCGCGACTCAGATGAGTTCGAGCTATTCACCACGTGAGCCAGTCAAGATGGGCTCCGTGTCTCGTGATGGACCGCGCTAGAGCTTGGTCTAGCCGGGGTGATGTTCCTGTCAGAGAGCTTTTGTAACCTATTCGTGGTTACACAGCCCCCAATTTTGCGTGATGCCGACATCCCGGGGTGGGTAGGCCGCTTTTTGCCGCTTCCTTTGGCCCCCGCGCTGCCGGAAATCAGGTTTCCCGCCCAATCAGGGCCACCAAAGTCAACCAAGTGCGCTGAGTGAATCTTTGCCACGACAATTGAAGGAAGCGGTAATGATAGCCAAGGATTTTGAAATAATTAATCATGTTGAATATCAGGTAACCGCGGCACCTCTCACATGAGCTCACACAGCCGGCGGAAGGAACACTGAGCTGAAGATGGATGAAACTATTCTCGGATCTTATACAGTGTTGGACCCCACGAGAAGACCTTCACTGCGTGTATGCTCTGATTTACATCAAGGGTGAAGGTTTCTATAAACGGAATCGATCCATGAGCAGCAATGCCGTTTTTGTATTTAATCACAAGCTATCTGGCTAAGAAGGTCCTCAAAGATTAAAGAGTTCCATCCAAAGACTCTCTAGCACTTGTTATCATTGCTCCCCACGGACCTCTAGACATCATGTTGAAAAGTCTCATGTTGCTTGCCCTGGCGCAAGTCTCAGTCGCAGAGTGGAAGTATGCCATAGACAAGAAAAGTTGCAGTGAGTTTCTCCGCTATCCTACCCAGAATACGAGCATTAATATCTCGACAAAGAGGACGGCATGTATGACCAGGTCAAATTCTACATGGATCAATCCCAAGCCCAATCGCAGCGGGTCGTCGACGCATTGGGTCCGTACCTTGACGATCCGAACAACAAGCCAGATGATCGCATCTTGGCTCAGATGAGACAGTTGTTTCCTTCCGATGGCGTACCCACCGCCCGCCTGTTACATGGTCAGTAAAAGCAACAAATTTTTCATATTTTGGAGAAATGGTTGACTGACGTGACTATCGCGGATGTAGGGATCTACCAGAAGGTCACCAAGTACGCCTATCAAGACGTGGACATCTGGGCGGATGAATACAGGCAAGGGAGAGACAAAGGAGACCTAGTAAGCAAATTTGATGGTGACTTACTTCTGTTAGTTACTTGTTAGCTAATCAGAGCATATGTTTCTCTAGGAGATCTTCTGCAACGCAGACCACGTTGTGGAAGACCCCAACAACCCCGAGAAGAACATCAAGTGGCGTGATACAGCACAGGACCTGCCCGTTACCGACAAAGATGGAATTTTGAGTCTGAAGAACCCCCTAAGCTTCACATTGGCGGTCACGAAGGACTCGCGTCCGATATCGCGTGAGCAACCTTGGCCGGAACACTCACCCGAGTACATTGCGTTCCACCCCCGCTACATGAAGAAAAGCACAGAAAAGAACTCAATGCTCAACCACGATCGTGTCGAGAAGGCAGCCTATCCCTCGCTTTGGGACAAGGTCAAAGTGAAGCTGCCGGGGCTCGATTTCGGAGCTGTTGATATTCTAGCTACGCCTGAGCTCACGATGCTGCATGAGTTGACGCATTTGCTTGCAGTTGCAGATGCGGTAGACTCGGAAGGAAGGAACAGTTACGGGTGGCTGAACTGTGTTAGGATGAAGAGCTTCAAGAATGCTGGTAAGTGCATATCTTCATCATTACAAGATAACGAGATACTGATGCGCTGTTTGCAGACAGCCTGGCCTACTTCGCCCTGGTAGTTGATTTGATCCAGGGTTACGGATATGATGTAGATGACAAGGGAAAGCTGAACAAATTCTCGTAGCCCTACTGCTTTCGTTGTTGTGGAGTCTTACAATTGGAATATGGCGTACTTGGTAAAGCTTTGTGCGATTCAACTGAGATCTGAATGACCCACTTGCCTCTCTGCTGCTGCTTTACGCCGTGCAATCCATTCCCCGTCGATGTATCATCGAAAAGGGACCACTATAACTTGTTGGTTGTATTCACTTGGGGCTTCTAGGGCATTCACCTGTTGCCAGGTGGCCTGTGCCCTGGCGCCTCCCATAGCTTAGTTCTAGGCACCCTCCTGCCTACAGAATAGCTTCCCAATACACACATCTTCTCTCAGACCCTTGACCTCCACCAACATAATTCACTATTCTTTATGACTCTATGCGCGAAAGGTGGCTCATGCATCCAGGCAGACTCCAAGCTCCTGCACTTTATGCCAGTCCGTGAGAGCGATCACGAAAGTGTGTTTAGGATTGAATATGATCAGATACCGCGGAGATACCAAGGCCTACGATGAGAGAAGCCAACACTATATACTGGCTCTGGCTGTTCGACCCCGGGCTCTGCACTATCCCACAGGCGTATGATGGTATGAGCTGAGCTTTCTGTTGTGTCCCCCACTCTGAATCCTGGCCAGCCGCGCGGGCGGACAGTGAAATGGGGCTCGGTTTCTGCCACCCTCCCCCATACTGCTGGCTTCTCAGGATTAACTGGCAAATCTACTGTCAAAACTCTCGCGAGATGCTCGCCAAACATGAACGGGTTCGCAGGTCCATCCGGCACAGTACTCAGCATACCACGCCAGGTCGGCTCGCTCGTGTCGAGCCACAAGTCCACCGATACCAGAGTCTTTCTCTCCGCAGCCTGGTTCAACGAGGCACAACATTCGCGCCAACGTCTCAGAATGGCATGGGCCTCGCTGCTCATTTTCATCTTGGACTCGCGCCTGATGGGCAACCTAATCGAGAGGCTCAAGGTTCTTATGGAGGATAACAATGGCGGCGTGCCAACAGCTGTCAGGCTGTGTAAAGTGTTGATGTCGTGGATAACGAAGTTGACGAAGCTGAAGATGGATGTGCGGCCTTCGATGTAAAACTGCTTGCAGACCAACAGAATGGCCAGAAACGGATTGCTCCAGCATTTGCCATCTCCAAGGGCTACGCTTGACGTTGCCTCTCGGCCATACTCTTCTTCACATCTCCAGTGATTACCCCAACTTGATTGCATGCGTTGCCACAATTCTTTGTCTTCAAACCGGCTTGTTCGACGCTTGGCGCATTCTTCCATGAGTTCATCAGGTGCTGCGTGGTCGGTCACGCATTTCGCACGCATATATCGGCCTTTGCGGTGTATGATGTGCTGGGCGAACCCGGCATCCTTCCACAACTCTTCGAGTATTGCAATCCTTATCTCCAAAGGCAGTTGCATGAGTGTCGCGGCTTCTGGCTGTGGTCGCATCGTTGAAGCAATTGCGTGGGAGTCGGGATAGCGGGCAGGGGATCTGGTTCCCTTACGCGCCACTAAATGCGAGCGAAAATACGCGAACGCCATCTCTTTTGAAGTTGTGATTCGATAGATTGGACGTTTCGAGTCTTGTGATAAGGTGAGGAACGGCTCATGCTTGATTGCGGCGAGATTCTTATTTGTAAGAATTGAGTCTCTGGACGGCCAATTTACAGCGGGAGCTTTCCCAGGCCATTGGGCGTCTATTTTTAGCGAGCTATTCTCGCCACGGCCCCCAAACGTAAGCCTCATGATGGCAAGTAATACCCGGCGTCCCTTGAATTCTCTTGATCCTTCTCGACAGGAGAGGTTTAGCTTACGCATTCCGGGCTCGCTACCCTTGATGCCCACCTACTGCAATAGCGACAGTTCTGCACCTGTGGGTAAGATCGCTTGACTACTGCGCGCTGGAGCGACGAAGCGCAATCGACATGTGACGACATGAGATCAATTACCACTTGAGATGACAGCTAATGACTCCTCTTTTGTGATTGGAGATGCAAGTTACACGAAGCAGCTCAAATGGCTCCGAAGACGCAAGTACCCAGAAGCATGGTCAGTGATCGTAGGTGCCGTTTCGCGCACTGTCTGTACGCGCTTCGCTGATGCTGGCAGCTTTCACGAAGATATCCCCTTGACCAACTTTCCGCTGAGCACTGACACGATGGGTCCAACAAATAAGGTCCCATCCTGGAATGAGGCAGATCTATTTACAATTAAATAGGCAGTCCAAGAATTCAGGTCAAATTCTAACAATCAGCATGTATGCTGGTCCACTTGATCTACCTCTACGTGATGGGAAGCATGATGCTGTTCTTTCTAAGAATTTCATAGGTGTAGCGGTCACTTTACCGAACCACACCACCTTGGCGGAGGGAGGCAATAGCTGCATCATTTAGACCAAGTTCCTCCCTCAGAACTTCGTCAGTATGTTGCCCAAGAAGAGGAGGCGCGGATCGAATTGTCGGTTGCGATCTGGAATATTTCACTGGCGAGTTGATAAGCTCCATCGGTCCACAGGACGGATGGTCTATCTCGACAATCATATTCCTTGCTCTCACTGCGATCAAGATTTAGCAGCTAGCCGGCAGTGAGGTCTCTAGATTAGAGTGAATGTTCTGCTTACCATGGCGATGCTGGGTGGTGTCCATGAGATCATTGACCTTGGCATACGGCAAGCCAGTGCCGTCGAAGATGTCAAGCCACTCTTGGGTAGTCTTTGTGCGAGTGATCTCTTCAATCCATTTCTCTAGCACACCTCTGTACTTGACTCTGGCTGAATTGGTTGCAAAGCGATCATCAGTGGCCCATTCCGGCTTGCCTAAGCCCTTGGCCAGGATGGCGAACAATCTATCGTTGCCTCCACCGAAAAGAATGTCACCGTCCGATGACTTGAACGCTCTGTAAGGAACGACGGAGGCTCGTCAATAGGTCAGTGCTGGGCTGGAATCTTTGCAAATAGACTGACTCACGATGAGCTGTTCCCCAACGTCCGCTATCTCTCTCCTTCGTGATGAGCACTGACTGCGCCATATTAGATAGCGTGGCAACCTGGCAATCGCTGAGACATATGTCGAGATGCTGACCCAGATTGGATCGATTCCGTTCAAGCAGTGACGCCAGAATGCTTGTCGTTGCGTACATTCCCGTCGTCAGATCAGTCACAGCACACCCAACCTTGACAGGAGGACCATCACGAGGCCCAGTGATGTGCATCAACCCCATTTCTCTGGTGAATACTTGTCAGCGCTTGCATCATGTCAGGGGACGTAACACTTACGCCTCAACCATAACATCGTAGCCCGCGCGATCGCTGTATGGTCCGAACTGGCCATAGCCGGTGATACTCGCGTAAATGAGCTTGGGATTGAGTTTTCTCAGCGTCTCATAGTCCAAGCCGTACTTCTTCAGCGAGCCAGGAAGGTAGTTCTCCACGACAACATCAACTTTCTTTGCCAACTCGCGCAAGATGTCAGCACCTTGTTTCTCCTTAAACGACAAGGCAAGCGACTTTTTGTTTCGATTCACCTAAAACGTCAGATGATTTGTCTCAGGCATTTCTTTCCAAACTTACCGAAAGGTAGTATGCGCTTTCACCAGCAGGAATAGCAGAATCGGCACCGTCCAAACGGGGCGCATACGGCGGGCCCCAGGATCTCGTATCGTCGCCGCGAACCGGATGTTCAACTTTCAAGATATCCGCACTAATGCCGAAGGCTTGGTTAGAATATAGAGTTTGCACATGACATCCTGATAGTAATCAGTGTCGAAGGAGAGCCTACCCCATGTCACCAAGGATTTGTGTACAATATGGCTACAAAGTGACGCGACATTAGCATTCATCCGAATCAAACTGGAAGTTTCTACGATGCACCTACACCTGCAAGCACCCTGCTCAGATCAAGCACTTTGACACCGTCCAATGGAAGCTTGGCTGTGGCGCTGGCTGTAGAATGACTGCGTGTAGATCTCAAGGCCCTGAGGCAAGCTCGCGGCGCCTGGGCCGAGCGGATCCCCAGGTTCATTCGGAACATGATGGGAAGGATGGATTTGCAGATATGCAGAAAAAGAAAGGAATGAATTTCATCCAATAAGCTCTCTTTGTATGTATTGCTCTTGCATGAGGATCTCACAGAATGTTGTTGCTCTTTTGAACAGCTCACACCGAGGGCTGCTGACACCCACCTCGTGAAGTGGTGTGGGACGTTGGCGGTTGGTCCCACCTCACTGGGATGGCAGCACTGTGGGGTTGACAGAGCCCGCGTTCACCACATGTACCACCACTCTACGGCCTGACCAGCATTGGTTTTTTTATCCGCATACTCGCATAGATTTTGCACCTTGTCCGAGAAGTTAGTGGTCTCTGATTTAATCAAGATTATGGAAATGGCTTTGCGTGCACAACTCCATGGCCCTCTGCTTACAACTCAGGATAAGGAAACCCCTGAAGTCGCTCCCCCAATGTCAGGCATTTCTTCCAGCCAATCTCTGCTAGTAGTTTACCTCGACTGTCCCGATACTTGGCATCATACTGCTCAGGGGACAAAACCTGAAGTTTGTGGTCGGGACCCACAGCTATCACGTCGTCGCTGTCTCGTTTTCCGTCGTGCGCAAACTCCAGCACTGCCTCAGCGAACCGCTTGCTCAACTCAACATCTTCACGTGTGAGCCAGGGCTCGAAGTTGCGAAGTAGATACGCAATGTCGAGAGCATGCGAGGCAAACCCACATGTACCACCTGGAAGCGGGTTTGTCTGAGGAGGACGCAATGTCAGAAACCTGCCGAGAATAAAGCCAGCCACGGGCTAACTGACCTGATCCATATGATATTGACGGACTTTGGTATCGTGGGGCAATCCAAAGCCTTTGCCTGCTGCCAATACCGGCGCATAGAACCGCAATTCTGAAGCGAGCAGTAGCATACCCGTTGCGGCCTTGTCGGTATCAAGCAAGTACGCCGTTCGGACCTTCTGGGTCAGATCGGACCCGAGAATATCGTTACATGCGACAATTGTCCTATCCTTTGCATCCGCTTTATCCAAGTACCGCGAGCGTAAGATAGTGCCCTGTCATCGCGCGGTTCGTCAGTTTTGTCTTGCAATGGGAGATGTAGCCATATCTTCGTACATCGTGAGCCATGTCCCCTGTCAAAATGCTCTTGCACCACGTATTCGTTATAGTGAGATCTACCACTCGCAGCCCCGGGAGGAAGTCTCCATCCAAAGTTGCACTCCAATGCTGAACCATCGGCACCACTTGGACAATATCAGATGCCGGAAGAAAGCGAAGCTTGTTGGCAGCTTCTTTTAGATCTAATTCGTCCAGTCCAAGATACGCAAGGTTCTCTCTAAGCATTGCTTCTTGCCAAGCCATTGACTGTGGCCTCCGGACTGTGATATCACCAGACATCAACAAAACTCGATCGAATAAAGGGTCGCTTGTTGCCAGGAGTGTGGAGAGAGCAACTGCAATTGCGTCAGTAGTGGCCTTTCATATATGAAAGCGTCGTTCTCGATACAACACTCACTTCCCCCAGCTGATTCTCCAAAGGCGGTGATCGAGCTAGGATCACCGCCGAATCCGCCAATGTTTTTCTTAATCTGCGACGATGTTGTTCAGAACATTTCTTGTGAAAGAGTATTGCATCATCCCGCCATACCCATTTGAAAGCACAAGCTTGATCCTTCAGTCCATAGTTTCCCCGCAGACCAGCCTGTGCTGAAGCTAAGAACCCGAAGATCCCAACGCGGTAGCTAGGGGTTGGTTAGCGCGCCGATCAATACACAATGAGCAACCAGAAATCGAAGCTCACTTGATTGAGACGCCAATAACGGGCTTTCCATGATCTAGGGAGTGTCTGACAAACTTGACAAGGTCTGAAGTTCGAAGCATGAGCGTGAGGTTCCAAGCTGGATTTCTGCGTTGATTTCAGAGATGAGCTTACCATACTGAGGCCAGGCATTACTTCCAAGACAGAGCGCGCCTCTAAACTTAGATCAGTACCGAAATTGATACACAAGCTCTCGGGGCCGCTTTCGCCAACAACTCGAATGAAACAGGGCGACAAACCCGTGAACCCTGTATGGCTTGTGAGCGAGATATCGGCGGTGCGGAGGTCTTGGCTGCACCTTACCATACCATCACTGGCAATTTGGTATCTTGGGGAATCTGCAGAGGTCTGGTAACCACCAGGTTTAGACAATAATTTTCATTTTCTTCAATGTTTCTTTCCACCACGGGGAGATCTCCGACAAGGTTCAAGTCCGCCCGTTGGGCTCCCACCCCCTGAGGACAGGCAGGTCCGAACTGTGTCGCATCAAATAGGTCCGTACTGAGCTTTCCTTCTTGAATAACGGGGTCTGTCCATCTTGCTGATTTGGCTGCATACGGTATGCCTCGGAATTGCTCGATGTTGCCGTCCTCGAGAAGCACGCCCTGAACGTCCCCCAGCACCGGATGGTTGAGCACTGCCGTTGCGATACTGGGCGTCGCCATGTTGATCGGGGTGACGGTATGATTTCTCGGGTCGGTCTTTCAGGCACAGACGCCGCGACCACGTACGAGCACTTCATGCCACCAGCCTTGTGGTGGGTGAAGGCCATGAAGAGGGGTGGGGGAGTGGGGGAGTCGGTGTTCCGGCATGCGGGCCAGTACCCCACATCGCTTTGCCGATGGATGGTGTTGATGGTGGGGTAGCTTCTGATGTTGGCCACTGTACAGTAGATACAAAACTTTGGTGAAAGGTTCAATGTGACCATTTTCGACCATCGTAGGACCAATTTCACGAGCCGGCCAGCTGTCGCATCTTGCCTTTCGTCTTTCATAGGTTCAGCGTCCACAATGATGAGTTTGACAATGAGTAGAGCACGAATCCTCGCCCCCAGTGTTGGTGCCTCTATCAGTAGGAGAGGCATATCGTCGACTCGAATTTGCTTTGGTATCAACAAATTGTGTACATCAACATCCGAAGCCATTGGTCAAGTCAAGAGCGGCTCTACGGTCCTTGTTGGCGGATTCGGATTCTCTGGTGTGCCAAACACACTCGTCAATGCGTTGCGGGATCGCCCGGACATCACAGATCTGACAGTTGTTTCTAACAATGCTGGCATGCCGGGCGTCGGGCTGGGTACGTGAAATACGGCCAACCAGCTTCATCCATTAACGCCTTCCAAGGTCAACTACTGGGAACCGGTCAGATCAAGAAGATGATCGCGTCGTATATCGGAGAGAATAAGACATTCGAGAAGCTGTACCTCACTGGTCAATTGGATCTCGAGCTCACACCCCAGGGAACCATGGCGGAAAAGATTGCCAGTGGCGCTGCCGGCGTACCAGCATTCTACACTCCTGCGGGGTACGGCACAATCAGTAAGTCTCATTGTCAGCATTGTAGCTCGACGTAATAGCTAAGAGAGTCTTTCTGCGCAGTTCAGTCTGGAGAAATGCCGGTCCGATTCAACATAGATGGAACAGTAGGCACAATGTCGACACCGCGAGAGACAAGAGTATTCAATGGAAAGCCGTACGTCCTGGAAGAAGCCATCCAGGCAGACGTCGCCCTCGTCAAGGTGCACAAAGCAGACCGTATGGGTAACTGCCAGTTCCGACGAGCGATGAACAACTTCAACGAGTCGATGGCCAAGAATGCCCGTTTCACCATTGTCGAGGCAGATGAGATCGTTGAAGTCGGCGAGATTGCACCTGAAGACGTCCATATTCCAGGCATTTACGTGGACCAGGTGGCGAAGAGCACCGAAGAGAAGAAGATTGAAAAGCTGACGTACCACAAGTCTCCAGAAGAGATGCTCAAGTCGGGTGAGTGGCCCCATACTCACCGCCACCATGGCTGTTACGGCGTCGCTAACTCATATTCATAGTGGCTGGAGCAGGAGAGGGCGCGGGCCGCAGGATCAGGATCGTAAAGCGAGCTGCTCAAGAGCTGAAAGATGGCATGTATGTCAACCTTGGCATCGGCATGCCTCTTGCAACACCCGCTTTCATCCAGGAGGGCAACGAGGTAGTCTTGCAATCTGAGAATGGCATCCTGGGCATGGGCCGATATCCCAATCCAGGCGAAGAAGACCCTGACTTGATCAACCCGGGTAAGGAAGGTGTCACGGTGAATCAGGGGGCCTCGTTCTTCGGTAGCCAAGAGAGCTTCGGCATGATCCGCGCGGGCAAGATCAACTTGACCATGCTAGGAGGCTTGCAGGTCAGCAAAGACGGAGGTGAGTGCTGGACAATCTTTACAAAAGATACGTGCTTCCAGCCTCTGACATTTCAGATCTCGCGAATTTCATGCTGCCTGGTAAGGTCAAGGGTATTGGCGGAGCCATGGATCTCGTTGCAAACTCGAAGACCAGAGTCATTGTTACAATGGTATGTCACGATAATTCTATATATTCCATCATGCTGAGCTGGAACTGACGCATCGCTTCGCCAGGAGCACGTTGACAAGAAGAACAACCCCAAGATTCTCAAACGTAAGTCAATGCTTGAGCATGTCCTGGGATCGCGGCTACAGGCTTACCGTGCCCGCAGAATGCACGTTTCCCCTGACTGGACGCAAGTGCGTGTCTCGAATCATCACCGATCTCGCTGTGTTTGATGTCACCCCGAAAGGATTGTTGTTGGTTGAAAAGCTGCAGGATGTATCGCTGGATGAGCTTCGCGCTAAAACCGAGGCAGACTTTGAGGTGTCCCCTGACCTCAAAGCATATGAAGTATAAGTTGGATCATCATTCATTCCTATGCATGGACTCAGGCGTCGCGGTAAAGAGCGGGTTCCATAGACGTCCGAAAATGGTGTCAATACCGATCAGAGGCCCAGTTTGACGTTCATCGCCATTATAATCATGAGTGTTTCTTTGATGCTTGAAGGACCATCATGTGTTGCACCCCAGTAGCACTAAAAATCACGACTGTTGTACTCATGTCGGCACTAGGTGTGTGTCTCTGATGTTAGCGACATGCCTAAGACAGCTATGCAACAAGATGCTAAATCAAATTTGATTGCACTATCTATGCTTCATCTGTACCACGACAAGCGAGGGCTGGGCAGAGAATTGGCGAGAGGGTGGTTGACGTACGCCTCTACAGCGCTAAGCTCCCCTGGGGAAAGTACGTTCCAGGGCGTTGGGCCGCCTGTAACACGCTGGATCCAGCCGCCAAGCCCGCGAATCGTCTTGTGACGAGTGTCCCACATGTGTGCTCTCGTCCCACATGCACCCACATGTCCCACATCCGAACCTCCCACATGTCCCACATCACACGAATACGCATCCCAGGGAACCCTGATGGAGTAGTTAACTTTGGCAGAGGCATCTCATCCAAAACAGCCATGCTTTTTATGATCTATTGAGTCAGCGACGTGCTTCTGATTCATGAAATCCGATACCCTGGTTCCGGTGCTGGGTAACATGTTTTCCTGCTGGCATACTAGAGGTCAGTGCCGGGCCGGAACAGGTGTCATGTTCAAACCCAAATACAGCCACTCGCATTAGATCCTGATTCTCAACCCAAGGATCCATGTGACTGGCGAATCAGGTTATTCGGCACATGTTGTGAATTGGAGACAGTTATATCTTGCAATTGCATGGGATTATCATTTACCATGTATGGAAAGACCTAACCTGTGACCTTAGCTAAAATCTCCCGAACTTGGCTCTCTTTCGTGATCGGGATGGCGTTCGTAGTGATCCAATGGTCTGTCAGACTGTTGGTAACAAGCATGTCCAGCTTGTCAGGGTCGAACCCTACATCATCCAGCGTACGCGGCATGCCCAGGTTGCGCAAGTAGACATCCAGAACCGTGGCCAGATCCGCTTGCGACTGGTCGACATCTTCCGAAGCGAGCATTTCAGATATTATTTCACTCTCTCGCAGAATTTGGGTGACAACCGCCTGTTTCTCCACGTTGATCGGGTCCTGGCTGTTAAAGGAGCAAACAGCCGGCAGCAGAATGCAGCTCGTCTCGCCATGAGAAACCCCCAGTGGACCGAGCTGATGCCCTATGGCGTGGCTTCCGCCGAGAGGGACGCCGCAGGAGACGGCTCTCATGGCCTCGACGACACCAGTCTGACACTGATGCCTGGCCTCGAGGTCTGTTGGGTCTTGCTTGCACTTGAGCAACGCCCCCGCTAGCCTCTCGAGCCCTCGCTTGGCCCACGTGTCAGCCTCTTCGTTGCTCAGTCGAGAGCAAAGTGTCTCGACGCAGTGGTCGACGGCTCGGATGCCCGTGCTGAGCCAAATGCGTTCCTGAGTTGTAGTGCAGAGTTCGGGATCTTGAATCACGAGGTCGGGATCGCGTATGGGGTCGAACACCATCTTTTGCCGCTTCTTCTCTTCGGTAGCTCCGGCGATGGCTTGATATTCACCTCCAGAGAGCGTGGTCGGAATGCATATTAGGGGGATACTGGGATGGATCCAGTTGTGTGGCCTTTCTCCCCGTAACGAGCAGATATCGGCAACGGAATAGACCTTGTTTGCCAACGCAAATCTGATGAGCTTAGCTCCATCTGTGATACTACCCGCGCCGAGGGTCACTAGGCAATCGACGCCGAGATCTTTAGCCTCGGCGATGATGGGAACAAGTTCTTGGATCGGTGTGTGGGACCCGATTCCGACATGGACACCTGCAACCCGGTCGCCCAAGGCCTTTTTCAACCTGTCCAGCGCATCCGTGTTGCGTGTCAAGCTTGCCGACGCGATTATGTACACGCGGTGGGAAGAAAGATTGCCGTTGACATGAACGGCGCAGGCTTCAGGAAAAGGTAGCCCATAGCTTACAGCGGGGGTTGTCTTGATGTCGAAAGCCGGGTGAGATGTTTCGGAGCTGAACCAGGTCGCCATGTTGAATTTGGTGTTACTTTGCACTGGCCTAGGACTGTCTTGATCAAGGCTGTACGGCGTCGAAATAGGCAAAATCTGCTGTTCTGGAAGGGTCGCAAGGGGATTTCGCGCGGCTCAGAAGCTTGGGACGACGGGATAATAAAAAGCACTGCAGTCTTTCAGTCCACATGTCGAATCCACATGACGTTCGACGAGCCTCACCATGCCATGATGTGGTGACGCCCAAATCGACAGTTCGATGCCGCCATGTGGGGTTCGGCTCCCGCCTGGATGATCCACGAAACTCCCCCACGCTGCCCACACGCATGGGCAGGAAGTATCATGCACCCGACTTGTCCAAGCTTGCTAGCCACATTGGCAATTTAACTTATACCTTTGCTTACCTGTATCAACCTTCCGAGGAAAGTTCAAGCTTGTGAACCAGTCGAAGCTTGACCTGTTGCTTGTTTGATGGTCTTCTCCCAACATTGAAACCCGCCGAACCCGGACCATCACTAAACTGCAGCTGAAAGAGATATGGCATTCCGAGCAGTTGGACAGAGTGTACTGAAGAAAAGTCCCAATGATGTGGTGTTCCTCTCGGCTGTGCGAAGCCCGATCACCAAGGCTTTCAAAGGTGGGTTCAAGGATGCTTGGCCAGAGGATATTCTAAGACCTGTAAGAGGAAACCCAACCGCCGACCTCCAGTACTCAGCTGGTGGGACTGACAAGTGCGACCTCTGGCGTATAGGTCATGCGGGAGGCTACACGTAGGGCCAATATTCAACCTGGCGACGTCCAAGATGTTCTGATCGGCAATGTCCTCGCCGAGCTCGGATTCTCTAAGACAGGCAGAATGGCGCTGAACGATTGCGGCTTCCCTGTTTCGACAACCTTCCACACCGTTAACAGACAATGTTCTAGCAGCCTGCAAGCCATAACACACCAGGCTCATGCTATCCTGGCGGGCCAAATCGATGTCGCTTTAGCCGGTGGTGTCGAGAGCATGTCGAAGAACTACGCGTCCCGCGGCCGTCCGACCGATGTTTCACCTTCACTTCAAGCTTCGACCGTCAAACATGCGACCGACTGCCTGCTTCCTATGGGTATCACGTCGGAAAATGTTGCTCGGCGATACGTTGTTTCACGTCAGGACCAGGACGACTATGCCTTTCTGAGCCACCAGAGGGCAGAGGCTGCACAGGCCGCGGGAAAGTTTGACTCCGAGATCGTGCCTGTCACGTATAGCTCGCCAGTCGAAATTGATGGGACGAAGCAGACAACAAAGTTTACAATCTCGCGGGATGATACCATCAGGCCTGGCGTCAAGAGAGAGAAGCTTGGGACGCTGAAACCGGCCTTTGCCGAAGATGGTGCCAGCACCGCGGGCAACTCGTGAGTAAAACGAACAATTGGCGTGCTCGTTCCCTCAAGTAACGAAAGATGCAGGTCGCAAATCTCAGATGGTGCATCATCAGTAATTCTCGCGCGGCGATCGTGGGCCGATTCCCGGGGGCTGCGACCCATCGGTCGCTTTGCAGGGACGCAAGTGCTGGGATGCGAGCCGGACGAGATGGGCGTTGGACCAGCACTCGCCATACCAGCGTTGCTCAGGTACGCCGGAGTCGAATTGAGGGACATCGACGTGCTTGAAATCAATGAAGCTTTCGCAAGCCAAGTTCTTCATGTTCTTCGAACCCTGTCGCTTGACGTCGACAAGGTCAACCCTAATGGAGGCGCTATTGCGCTTGGGCATCCTACAGCGGCTACAGGAGCGAGACAGGCGGCTACATTGCTAGCTGAGCTGAAACGATCCGATCGCGAACTGGGGATCGTCAGCATGTGCACAAGGTAAGCCGACTTAATCCGCCCAGCTCGGTTTTGTAAGGCAGCGGCTGACTTGTTTCGCCAATCAGTGGAGGACATGGGGTAGCATCGTTGATTATAAGGGAGTAGTAAACATGGAGTCGCTGAGACGGTGAAAACGAGATATTTGCCGATCGATTCAGAGCGCTCAGCTTGTGCCAGTGGGGCTGTTGGATGTTGGTCTAGAAACACCTGGAATAAAACAAGTGAGAAATACAGCTGGTCCTTCGGGAAGAATCAAGTATCCCATGGTTCGCTCGGCTATGTCCGTTGCACTGAAGGAGTCCCTTGGGGGACCTCGCGCCTAAGCCACGGTCTCGTTCCATAATAGAGTTCGAACTTGGCCCTCTCAGGACAAGCATGACGCCTCCTAGACTGTCCAATTGCAGTAGGGGCGATGTCAGACCAGGGATCTGGGGTCTCCCCACGTTCCCCGCCTTAGCAGCCCCCTGACCATTCTCCTTTGGTAGAGGCGACGGGATTGTACAAGTAAGGTGGGAGGTCCACGGTCGCTCGGTCTGCGGCGCCGGCAAGCATCGTTACGCTCTACCCCGACAACCTCGACCGACCTCTGCAACGAGATATACACCCACCAACACTTCAGGACTCCAGTCTATTCAGGCCCTCTTTCATGCCTGCTCGAACCTGTTCATACTGCGACGGCAGCTTCTCCAAGATTGAACATCTGAAGCGCCACGAGAGGTCCCGTATTTCAACCCCGAACTCGCGGCACTCGCGGAACTCGAGACCGTGACATCTGGCTTACAGGAAGGCGCGAACAGATACCGGCGAGAAACCTTACACTTGTCGACTTTGCAACAAAAAATTTGCGCGCGGGTAAGTCGGCTCGAATTCCGGGATAACGGGATACCATCTGCGTCTGAGAGTTGCGGGGCTAATGAGATGCCGATCGTCTTGATGCAAATAGTGATGTCCTTAAGCGGCATATCAGGGGCCACCTAGCCCAGAAGGAGGGCCAAAATGGCAAAGAAAGCAGAGAGCCCCGGAGCAGTCGACAAGCCGATGATGAGTCGGGATCTGGTGTCTCCCCGAGGTCATCGGGGGACGCCGAGAACACGGCCGACACGGGGAAGCTCTCTGCCGCTCGGCCGGAACAGGGCGATGATGACAACCTCACCATTACAGTGGCCCACGTGCAAAACCCGGAATTCGATTTTGTGACTTCGGTCGCGGTCATTGATCCACCCACAGAGAGTAACGACGACTTCGACGGTAACGAGCTTTTGGCATCAGTTCCGACACAACCGACGCATACCAACAGCACCGACAGGCCAAACCCAACGGATGCAACTTTGTTTGAAGGAAACAGTCTGTTCTCGCCTTCTGTAGGAGATGCAGGCCGCACTCCACGGGAAATGCTCACTGCAGCCATGGCCTCGCAACAACCATTGGAAAGCGACCTCTCGGTCATTCTCGGATTCGCGCCCCGGGCGGCCTTTGGCGCCTTGGGTCATAACCGGGCTTTAGATTCCGATAATCTCGGTTGGCTTTCCACATTTGACGCCGCCATTCCTTCTCCGCCAAATAGCACGAATCCGTGGGATGCCTTCCTCATCTCCTTGGGTTCGCCCCTAATAAGAGACTTTCAGGGGAACTCGGCCCGCAAACATAGCTTCGGCTCCGATATACCGGACGAGCGGTTCGCGAAAGTGGCCAGGCTGTGGCCAAAAAGAAGGGAGCGGCCGTGGTATATGATACAGACGCTTTGGCATGACGCCGCCAATCATGAAGGCACCAACCTCTTCTCTGAATCTCCACCAGGTGAAAGGGATGAAAACTCCCCATCCATGCGGACAAACGGCCCTCAGAGAGGTCTGGACGACGACAGGCGTCTGTCACTAATCAGAGACCTATCACTGCCTCGATTTGGCGGAGTATGTATTCAACTTCGGTAACCTTTCACTAGCCTGGACTAATGCTGACATCTGCCAGGATGATAACGACCAGAGCCTTCAGATTAAATCTGGCCTTCCGACGGCAGACACCTTTGCCGTATGCATCGATCTCTACTTCCAGCGATTTCACCCATTGTTCCCATTTATCCACGAACCCACGTTTTCGGCCAGGCGCACACCAAACATTATTCTCCTCCCAATATGTCTGATTGGCCTCCATCTACTGGATCCGGATAAGACGAGGTCTTTTGTCATAACTCAGGTTCTAGTAAGCCTGGCCTTGACATGTTTGTATCTTACCATGGATGTCATGACACTGATTTCTATGGTTTTGTAGAGAGGAATTGAGAGGTGTACGGCCGCACTAGCAAGGCCATGGAAACGAAATGATTCCATGTCTCTAGTTACCGTTCTCGGCTCTGCAATTCTGTATCTCAATTTTGCGTCAATCCTAGAAGTAAGTGCCGCCAATGGCTCCTTGTTGGTTAAGTTTTTGACCTTTTGTAGGAAGTTGCGCATTCGGAACTCACGCACGCACTTTACGCCAAAGCCCTGACTGTGAGTGAGAATGGGTTCAAAGGCCTTGAAAGGCGGCCAAGGACCAAAGAATCAATCAACCAATAAAAGTGCTAATGCCCTTCAGGTTGCCCAACAGAGCGGCCTTTTCGAGGTGAGCAGGGGCCCCTCCATCTGCGAGGCGCTGTCGCAAGAACGCCAAACGGACGCCGCTTGGAAGTCTTGGGCGCGGATAGAATCAGCCAAACGGCAAGTCGCTCCTCTCTTGCATCAATTTGCGTGTCTGGCGCTCAGTTGGAAGGCTTTTGTTAACGCTTGCAACAGTGTGGTGGCGTACCTTGTTGTAACCGACTGTTTGTACACGTCTAGCATCGGGCCAAAACCCATGACACAAGTGGACATGCTACATATCCATGCTCCTTGCCCTGAAAATCTATTTGACGCAGTAGATGCAACCAGCTGGGAAAAGCTTGCGTCCACGTTACCCACCGCCTTCATAGATCCACCCGTCCTTGACTTCCAGGGCCACAAGGCAACACTCCCAACGACGCTGTCCGCCAGCGTGATGGGCATGTACACATTACTATCAGCCACATGGCTCTACATCGCTGACGTCCGCTACCGTACTCTGCCTTCTAGCACCGATCCGCTCAGGAACAGCCTGTACCCTGGAGACATATTCCAGGAAAGCTCGACGGGAGCCGCTATAGCACCTCTCCTCCGGGAGATCTACGCTTCAGACCACGATGGTCTGCTTGCCAGCGACCCCAACGCCATGGCCTTCTGGAACAACATGTGCGTCAACCTGACGGCCAATCTCGACCTGTTCGAGGTCGCGGCTGGGCGTGAGGGCATGGAAGCAGGCAAGACGGCGCTCGAGAAGATTTTCGTCTGGGCGCAGACCGCGCATGCGAGGCGTGCTTGTCTCCATGCCGCCCAGGTCTATGTCTGCATGGCGAAGAGGAAAATATCAGACGGCACCATGTTCATGTCGGAGATTGCATTGTTCAACGCTGCGCTCGTGCTGGGACTGTACGTGTATGCGGCGCCGGACACGCTCGAGACTGGCACAGAGGCATCGCTGGAACTACTTGACGAGGTGGATTGGAATCAGATTGGGGATGAAGGACTCCCCGGATGGAACATGGAGCAGAGCGATTGCAGTTATGCGGCAAGGAGGTTCATCAGCGAAGGAGGCGCCATTTCGTTCAATCGGTATGTTTGCATCGGGGGTTATGCCTCGGCGCGAAGGGTAATTCTGAACTACGTGGGCCTTCTGGAGGAAGTCGGGAGGTGGAATTGGCGACGATTTCGTCACATATTACGAGTGATGAGCGATAGCATGGTAGAACTGGGATGAAAATCATGAATTGCAGATTGGATTCAGTCCAATTTTGTGCTGTGTTACTTTCACGTGACTACCTATGTAAACAATTTACTGCCAAAGCTTTCACTCGGTGGCACAATATCGCATCTCTAGTCACGCAACTTGGCGTTGTGGTAGAACTCGCGACGAGCCCGCTCAGCAGCTTCGTCTTCCTTCACTTGCTTCAAGAGTTCCTGGATCCTGGGGTTGGTGGAGAATCGGTCCTAAAGGGTTGGAAAACACATGGTCAGTCTGGCTGATGCAGCAAGTAATGGGGTATTCATTTTCACATGATATCAGGGGCGGCTACGTACTGGTAGATTATCCCATGCGCTGGCATCCGTTCCCTGGGCCTCGAGGACACCACTGTCTTTACGGGCCCATTCAGTGAAGAGGAGAGTCCTGCTGGTCTCCACCATGACAGTCATTTGCTCTAATACTTCTGTAAGTAAAGTCCAATGCTGCGTGTCAATCACATCAAAAGCAAAAAAACGTACCTTCCAAAATACGTCTGGGTTGGTTAGTCTGCACCTTGTGTTCCTCTATGTAGCGTTCATCAAAGCCTCCGTGAGGTGTGTGGCCGCCTTCATAACTGCCGCCGCCTGGCTGGAAGTCATTCGACCGCCCCAAGCCGTTGCCATACAGGCAGGTCAGGAACTCCGAGGCGGAGTTACGATGGAAGTAGGGTGGGCGGAGCGAGTTCGATGCAACGTCCCAGCGAGGGCCAAACCAGAGGAAGTCAACAAGAGAAGTGTTCGGGTCCCTCGACTTGGCACTTAGAACGGTATTGATGGAGGGGTCGGTGTGGTCGACTGACGTGGCGTTTTGCGACACAAACTTTGTAAGATCGTACTGTAATATTCGTTAGCATGTCTCATGATCCTGCGGAAGACGTGACAATTTTACCTTGTAAGGCACTGAGTTACCATGCCACGCAACCACGTCAAAGGGGCTATGGTTCTGCTTTATGCCGACATGCTTTCCATTGTTCTTCACTACGATGGTGAATTCGCGATGAAGGTCTTCATCAATGTGAGCCTTTGGATACAGGAAGTCGCGCGCGTTGGCCAGACCGTAGCCTCCAATGGGGCCAAGGTCGGGCAGCTCCCATGTTGAGCCCCAGACCTCAACAATGAAGCCGCGAGCGACAGGAACATCGGCAGCCAAGTCGATGCGGAAGCGGATGCCCCTTTGGATGACGCAAATCTCTCCGGGTTGAAGGAAGAGCCTTCCCATTTCCGTTTGAATCTCGAGGTTCCCGAGCTGGGCCACGAGAAGGAAGTCGCCATCGATATTGCAGTAAGCCTTGCCGGGCATGTTTTTGTTGAAGGCATAGACGTAGAGGGCGACACCCTCGCGCAGGTTCGGGTCACCGCTGCCGGCTAGTGTCTGCAGTCCATCGGTAAAGTCGATCTGGTCATCGGCAGCAGGCAGGGGAAATGGTTTCCATTCTGCCTGCGCCGGGATTGTTTCGACCTTTGTGTTCAGGGATAAGAAGCAGTTCTCGATGTTTGACCGCGTTGCTAGGTCGACGTAACCAGAGTGCGCTGCCGACGGCCTGGCACGATACATGTAGGTATTCTGGTTGGCATGTCGAGGAGCCGCAAAGAAAGACGACGTCAAACCCTCTGTGTAAAGGCCGAAGCCTCGGTCTTGGGGATTGTTCTGTGCAATAGGTAGAGCTCCGGGAATCACCTCGGACTGGTGCCTATTGTTCCATCCTGCGAAATATTCGTAGGGATCGTTGGCGCGAGTAGGTTTTGATCGCTGAAGATCAGTGTAGTGGAAGATCTTCTGAGGATCAGTGGCGGCAACCCGTTCTTCAATAGTCATGATGTTAGGCTGTTTCTTCAAGTGCTTTGGTATGTCTATCTTTTGGGAGCTACATGTCTCCAAGTGCTATAGAGCATTATGTAGACAACTCGGGTCAGCTTCCCGAAGTTGGGAAGCAGCGACCAGTGTGTGGGGTCAATCCATCTCCTCGTACTGCTCCTCCTTGCCACGAGACATCTCCAAACATGATCAATACACCAAAGCATGATCATAGGTGGCTAACGCCTGCTGGTGAGGAGAGAGCGTGGGGAGCTGTCGAGATGTGTATCCCCACATTCCGGCCCCACCATGCTTGCGTACGGTGGTGTTAGAGCCTCTCCACCACCCGGCCCCTCGGGAGTCTACATGTGAGACTTCTCCCACATGGAGTTCGGATGCATGAAGTGGCAATCATCTCGTGCTCTTGATTCGTTGGATAGCACTCTCGATGTCCCTTGCAATGTTCTACGTGGGGTGAGCTCCGTGTTTAGTCACCATAAGTTCTCCCAATCTTTTCTCAATTGCAATCAGTAAGCCTTTGGTACCGCTGGAGGTTCACCAGGTTTCTCTAGACGTTAGAAACACCTATCTCTCACAACCATGAATGCCCTTCAACGAGTCACTCGCCAAATGGCAAGGGTGTCTGCACGGTCCATGCCTAGAATGAATCAGCCTCCCAGGCGCCTTCTGGGCAGTGTCAGTGCGCTTGATTCGGTACTTTATCGAAGCATGTTTGGCACCGACGAAGCTCGAAAGGTATGGCATTTCGCCTCGTGTACACGAAGCACTGGCAGCAATCAAGAAGCTGACCTCATATGTGACTCCGTTGCAGATCTTCAGCGACGAAGCCTACATCAAAAGCTGCGTGGATGTCGAGACGGCGTTGGCCAGGGCGCAAGCAAAATGCAATGTCATACCGCAAACCGCGGCTGAAGCCATCACCTCCACAGCAGACGCCTCCAAGCTCAACTATGACCGACTCGCCAACGAAACAGAGATTGTCGGCTACCCCATCCTACCCCTCATCCGACAACTCTCAGACCAGTGCGGCGAGGCTGGCAAATACCTACACTGGGGCGCAACAACGCAAGACATCATGGACACCGCGTCAATGCTGCAGATGAAGGCTGGCCTTGATCTTGTCGAGACCAAGCTGCGGAGCGCCATCAAGGCGTTAACCATACTGGCCGAAGAGTATCGGGATGCACCCATGGCTGGACGTACTCATCTGCAGCATGCTCTTCCGGTCACATTTGGCTACAAGTGCGCATCTTGGCTCAGCGGCCTTCAGAGGCATCTAGAGCGCATACAGCAGCTGCGACCACGCTGTCTGCTTGTTCAGTACGGTGGTGCGGCCGGAACACTGGCCTCTCTGGGTGGTGGCAACGAAGGCATCGAGGTGCGCAAGCAGCTCGCGAAGGACCTTGGTCTCCACGACCCCTCGATGACGTGGCACGTCGCGAGAGACGGAGTCGCCGAAATCATCAACACGCTTGCCCTGATAGGAGGGTCGCTGGGTAAGGTCGCGCTGGATCTCATCATCATGTCCTCCAACGAGGTGGGTGAGGTCATGGAGCCTTTCGTACCGCACCGCGGCGCTTCTTCGACCATGCCGCAGAAGAGAAATCCCATCTCGAGCGAGCTCATCTTGGCGGCGTCCAAACTGCTGCGCGCGAACGCTGGGTTGGGCCTGGACTCTATGGTCGCCGACTTCGAGCGGGCTTCGGGTCCTTGGCATCTCGAGTGGGTGGCCGTTCCTGAGAGCTTCGTCCTTGCTATTGGAGCCCTTCATCAAGCGGAGTTTGTCTTCTCCGGCATGACGGTTAATCGGGAGCGCCTTCTTCACAACCTGAACTCCACGGACGGTCTTATCGTCGCTGAGGCTGTCATGATGGGCTTGGCGCCGCACCTCGGCCGACAGAACAGCCACGATATCATTTACGAGGCGTGCAAGACTGCCATAGAGACAAAGGCCACTTTGTACGAAGTTTTGAAGAGGAATAGGGAGGTTGTTACGTTGCTTGGACACGAGAAGTTACAGGAGATGTGTGACCCCAAGAACTACTTGGGAGCTAGTACACAAATGGTGGATACTGTGACTGCATTGAGTAGAAGTCTCGGAGTTTAATATTGAACATCCCGGCTATGTAGCAATTAGACATGAAATGAGTAGACAATAAAGTTCAGTGGGGGCTATAATATGGTTTTCGTATTGGGGCACGTTGCTGTAATATCTGAACTTATCTTGGCATGGACGCCCGCCCGCAAGCTCGAAACGAGGCGCGTGTTGCCCTGGTTTGATCATATGAGCAACTTAAGCATTGGGAAATGGCACAATTGTACTGGCGTGATGCATAGTGTAAAACTTAAAGAATCGCTCGAAACTTGGGAATTTGCCGCAGAAGGGTGTTTGTGAACCACTGGAAGGATTCATTGCTTTGCTTCAACATGGTAGCCGTGACAAGGAAGTGAAGACCAGATCACGCCCGAAATTGCAAAAGCGGTTGATTGATGATTATAATTTCACTAACGTGAAATCTGAGGCCACGCTTGATTTTCACAGCAGACCGATTTCGTCCGTAGACTACGACAAGAAAACACATGAGTGAACCGCTCCTAAACCAGCCATGTTTCGTCCAAAATAGTGTCGAGGTGGCATCGCCTTAATCAACCAATCGTCTTGGGCTCGCGCCTATCCTCAACGGTTGCGACCTCCACATCAGAGCTTCCAAGGCCATCACCCTGAATCCTCTTCTCTGCACCCCTAGACAACATGGCCGACGCGACGTGGTTGGTCATGTGTTCTTGAGGGTCCTTGATCCACAGAGAGCAGATGAAGGCAATTACACTGAAGGGAATGGTGATATAGAAGACAAACTGGAACGCGCGGCCGTAGGCGAGGCGTACTGCCGCTCGAAGGGTGGCCTGGATCTCGGGCGTCATGCCAGCGATACCGTCGAGAGTGCCTGGGATGCCAAGGTTGTGGGTAATGGTTCCAGGAATGATGGCGGGCAGGTCGGCGGGGTTGAGACCGCTAGCGAGGGCAGCCTTCACAATCTCTTCGCCTGCGTAGTCGGTGAACTTGTCCTGGAAGACAGTGTTGAAGATCGCGTTTCCGACGGCACCACCTGCGGATCGGAACGTTCCGAGGAG